CATGTTTGGATCCATCCATAACATCAAGTGGCGCCAAGCTGATATCATCCACAGAGAGAAACACTGGTTCAAAAGGAAGTTCGGAGAAGCTGTATAATGTTGTCCAACGGCGCATTCATCCAAGCTAGCGTAGAGATACGCAACATACAAATTTTGTCCCAGTTTGATATCTTGCCTGGTTGAAAAGTTAAATGGGAGACACTATTTACGTTCGCACTGTATATGTTGAAGAATCCCCGTGAAAATTTGTTATTAAAGAGATAAAAAATAGATTAAGGATGAATATGTACTGTTATGAAACGTGAATCCCGAACAATTTACTAGTGCGAAATCTTTCTCACATCAAAGCAATTTACTTTCTCCTTTATTATCATTATCGCGAATAACACCGCACGACATAAACAAAACAAAATGCGAGGATCATTTGAAATAATCTGAGGTTATGCAACACCACATTTGAACATGTTCTGTCGGCGGATGTACCTTGATCTTGACATGAAGTAAACCTGTATTAGATGAATATTGAATTATTACTTGTTTATTCATTGCAGAAATGAAGAGTGTCATCGATGTAGTAGTTTCTGAGAGGATACTTTTGTTGACTTAAATGTTTTATCAGAAATATGATGTGGTGAAATAAACTAGAAAATTCGGCGCGTCAATGAGTACTTCAAACAAGAAATCTTCTTATGCGTTCAGAAACAACTTCAATTTCAATTTAATTCATTTGAAAAAGATGATTTCTAAAATTTCTAGAAAATGAATGCAGATTGATTTGAAGTAGTTAGCGTTTACAAGAATCATTGGAGCATTCTTTTTCAATGGTTGAACTTTTATAAGTGAACTCATCTGCTATTTAATTTCACTGTGTATATTTTCGGAGGTAATTAACTGAATTGTGAATTATTTTATGATATATAAGAAATGGCAATTTCGCAGATACATTCTCAACAGGTATTGAAGTTAATAATTCATATTTTTTCTAGATGAATATGATGCGCCTTTGTTTGTAAATGATCTGAAAATGATTCATTTCAATCTCTATCAAGTACCCATCTGCGGGTTTTATCGTTCTTTGAAGCTGATGCTATAACGTTTTGAGCAGAGTATATTCAGGTTTTTGGCAGTTTTTACTCAATTATGATATTTTTTTGTTGTCCACCCAACATCAGTTGGATCATAATCATAATTACTTATTCTAAAGAAACGTTGAGAATAACAATACCATTCTGAATTCAGAAGAGGATATTTTCCAGGGAGAATAATTTTTTTGAGAAAAAAACAATTTTAGCTGTCCACTTCTCCATCACTATTGAACAGAAATGTGAAAAATTTTCTAAGAAACGAAGGAAAGAAATAACTACATGAAGATATGTAGAAGTGTACACAGAAGTTTTTTTCAATTGCAAACTGAATTGAAAAAAGTGTTTTTTTTTTGTGATTCAGTGACCTAGGTAAGTCATTCTTTAGAAAGGGTAATTTCTTCCAGTTTATATTTGAAAGAAGCTTCTGTATATGCTTTTCATATCTTTATGAAGAGTTTCTGTTGTAGTTATGTTCTTCACTCAAAAGCTCCTTACATGTTTTGTTCAATAAAAGAGAAGTGGACGGCCTAAATTTTTTTTTTTTCAAAAATTTGATATCTTTCAAAATATTTTCTTTTCAATTTCAAGTAATGATTTGCTGGCATAAAGTCATAATATGAAAAGAGGAATGAGGGCCTCGTCTTGTACTGTTAACGAAAACGGTGCTGATGATATTTTTTTCCGAAACTTCAAAATACGCCATTGTGGATGATGATGTTTTATGTAAGTGATATTTTATATCAGTACTCTTATATATTACGTTATGTAGCATTCCATAACGAATATTTTCACTACATACTGAATAGTTCATATGAATAATGTTGTTTCGAAAGGATTTTTTTTCGTGTAATTCAATGTTAAGATAATCTGCTGAACTGTGATAAATGGCAAACTTGAATAGTTCTCAAATGAACTAACAGAAAAATTTGTTCAAGCCTGTCGCGACTAACCTACTCTGTAGATTAATGAACTGACACCTATCAGAAAGCAAGTATTCCCTGGCTCATTTCACGAAGGGCATTGGATAATATCCAATAGATGTCAGTGTAACAATCCTTTTGGAAGTGTTTCCTGCATATACTATTGGCGATACAACTGCTGGAATCGATTTTCAATTATAGGAACGGACACACTTGCAGACCGGTTTCGGGGTATTTGGCCTCTCGTCAGTGCAAGGTAGTGGCCATCATCAACCTGAAGGTTTCTGTCCTCGTATGAGGACAGAAACCTTCATATACAGGGCGTTCCAACAAAAATTTAACCCACCTGTAAGTCAGAAACGGACGTGTAATCGAAAATTTCAAAGAACACGCCTATATGTATTCAGTGTGCATACTGGCTAATACCACGAAGGGCGTTGGATTATTTCCAACAGAAAAGTTATCCCTATAAAGGTATTGCGTAATATCGTCCATTGAATAATCAATGGAATGTATCAGATTTCTATGTATGAGTATCTTCAGATGGTTGATGTTTAGGAAAATATCCCTTTCCTTTTTTGAAATCTGAAAAAACTCACTTGTGAATAACGCCACAGTTGCAAACAACTACATTTTTTTGACACATATCAATGTAGCTGTTTCCAGTTGATGCTTTGTTCACAGGTGAACAGTTTTTTTTTAAAAGAACTATTTTCTGAAACATCAGCCAACGGATGTAGAAACAGCAGTTCGTATGCAAATATCAAAATCAAAACTCTTGGAATAGCGAAAGTTGAAGCTTTCAATTCTCGACCAAATATATTAACTCTTCCCATACTCGAAACAGACGAGATTCCGCCATTTAATCTCCATTGGTGTATTATTTTCAATATATCTCTTTCACCAGGAGCCATGCTATGCCGAAATAAAGAAACAGAAAACAAACAATCGATTGAACCTCTCGAAAATCTGACACTGAATTCACAGCTCATTTCGGATATAGAAGTCAACGTTATTCACCTTTCAGTGCTTGAAGCTATACTTGACAGCAACTTCTTTCATGCTCAGTCAAACGCATTTCAACGCTTCGTTTCTTGGTTCCGACGTAGAATGAACCACAACTTTTCTGTGTTAAGGTAACTACTGGGTCACTCGAGGATCTCTGGGGTCTTTTTGTGACCTGAGACTATACTTTATCGTTCTTGTGGACTTCAAAATGACCCTAACTCAATGTTTTTCGTGATTGTTCCATTCAAACCGTCATACCACTCAGATAGGGCATAAAGGTTGATCCATTGGCAGTTTGCTCCAGTGTTCCTATGGAGTCTTTCTGTATGGGTCTTGCAGCTCGGTTGATATTGGTCTCTCCATATCTGTTACCCAGAAACGAATTCTTTACATGACAAATTTCTTCTTGTAGCACTTATGGTTGGCAGATATATCTTTTCATCCCTACTGGAGTTTTTTCTGTCGCAAATGATGATTGGAGTACTCCAGAAAATCGATTCTGACTTCCTCTTTAATCTCCATCGTAAACTGGATTTCGGGGTTCCAAGAATTTGAATATTCCCGAAATGTTGCCTATTCCTTCTTTCCGTAACTGAACCACGAAATTATCATATATCGTAACCAGCAGGAGAGTCGATCCGGCGAATCGTCGATCGAACTGTTCCATATAGAAGTTGGAACTTGGTGCTCTTCCCATTGGAATTCTTTATTCCTGCACATGCAATTTTCCATCCCACTGTTGATGTTTAGCAATGTTCAAATGATGTCTGGAGGAAAGGATCCGCTGATGAGTTGTAATTTTTCACTGAACTGAACCATTGTGAATAGAGATACGACATCGAAACTCACCAAAATGTCATGATGATTTAATTTTGAATCACGAATCTTTTTAGTAGATGTAGCAAACCCGATAAGTACGATCTCATTCGTCGGAGACCCGACGACACTGACAATCGGCCTTAGTGAAACATTCGACTTGTGAATTTTTGGGTGCCAATATAAACGAAATAGTAATACCTTGGTTCTCTGTAATGATTGCTTTCTTCATATCCTGGTTGATAGATAATGCACGAATTAGCTGCACGTCAAGTTCCCGTCTCGACATGTTTCCGTCCTGTGCCGTCCTGACGCAGTATGCACTCATTCGCCTCTAATCAAGCCACTTCTCCACAAGCTTGATCAGTAGCATACCAAATTGCAGCCTAGTAATGCGATGACCTGTTTCATATACAGCCAGTGAATAAGTTTTCAATGGTTTAAAAACAGTACGATACAAATGTCACAGGTGACTGGGTGATGACAAGTTATTGCTATCATTTTCGTTTGCATAGGTTGGAATTGAAACTGAATTTCATTCATAAAATATCACATAAGCTATATAGACTGATTCCACCAAAATAAAATCAACCGATCCGGGAGGAATTCCATCTTCGTACTCTGGTTTCTTACTTTCATCTTTGATAATACAGGCTGGCGGCAAAAAATTACAAACGTTCGATAAATGTTATTGTTTGTCTTTTTTTCGTAAAATTGGCTGTGGATACTTCTTCATATCCATTTCCTGCCCTGATCGATTATAAAATTTTTCACAAAAACGATAATATTCCTTGTGTCATCGTTCGTTATTGGGAAACCACTCATTGGCACGATAATATTTTTTTTCCATTTTCTGAATGGAGCCCACATAAAGATTCCGAGGGTCCTTTTTATTGCCTAGATTTCTCAATCTTCTCTAAAGTTTTTCTAGTTATTCCATGGACATAAATCGAAATACCATATACGCGCGCAATGCTTCTAAGTCCAAGTACCATGGATACTTTAGCATCTTATAAAACAATCAACAATCTATAAACTGACAGATAACACAGATGTCCTCCCTTCTTGAATAATAATGGCAATCTCTCCTAGTAGTCATGGACGCATATTTGAATTTTTTGTTATATTGTAACAAACTAGTGACCCTCTCTCATGAACTGTTTGTTTACAGGTGATAGCAGTTATATGTGCACATTCGGTATCAATATCGATAGGCATTTGTCAAAGTTATAGCGCAATACTCCTTCCCCAACTCAAGGTCAGTGAAAAATACCGAAATTTGACTGAAGATGAAACATCTTGGATAGGTAAGTTGTAAACTCTGAATGAAGTTAAAATTTTTGATTTTTTTTTTCCACATCATCACATCATTATTCAGCAAACAATATGTTTCCGAAGGTATCAACAAGTGGTCCAATATTCAAAATTATCTTAAAGATAAATAATTATTGATAAAATGCATTTATTCCATTCCATAGAATGAACAAATTGCTTTTCAAAGTAATCGAATCGTTCAGTTTATAAATAAAAAACAATTGAACAGGAATTCTACTGTAGTATTCTCATTTGTTTAGTAATCATACGTATGTCGGTACCTTGTGAATTATATCAAACACCTTCTTCATCAGATATTGATTGAGAGCACAGGCGTCTGGTGCGTGTGTAATTAAAGATAGAAGGTACTTCCAAAATGAACCTAACTGATATCGGAAATAAATTGCGCTAATTGTTACAAGGTGGTTCAGTGCGACCATTATACATGGGACTGGATATGCGAATTGTCAAGGTCCCTCTCACTATTTATTATTTAATTCAATTTCACATAACACAAAGAGAAACTTCCGGTCAAATGTCGGTGAACTACCTAAAAAAATCAGTTATATTATTTCATAGATATGAGGAACAAATTATTTCGAGTGTTGAATGTTGAGTGGTTTCTGAAATTATATTTGATATAACAGTTACTTTCCATTCAAAATCAGAACTCATATGATCTACATTTCATTTTTTAAATTTTATGTATCTACTACACTCTCTCGGATACATTTTATTCCTCATAGACCAATTCATGGAATCGTCATTCATCAAAATATTTCCAATACACCGGTTCCTGCAGAAAAGTTTGAATATATCATATTATCTCACCTATCCAAATTGCCCGTTAGTTTTCAAAACAAGTATCGCTTTCAAACACCAGAAAACTGCAACACTCTTCTCGCTGTGTGATTCATCAAGCGAGTTAGCGTTTTCAGGAGGTGAAGTGACATATTCAGTTAGATGATTGGTGAAACGCACATCAAGAACAGTGTTGCAGTTCTGGTGAATGAAAGCAGAAGTTTTAGTCTACTTTTTGGTGGGCTTTTCTGGCTGCCACTAATCGATGCGTTTCCAATATATTATTTCACGGTACAAATGAAATTCGAGGAAGAAAAGTATATTTTATATTAATACATCATAAACACCCAATATTCAAATTATGCAGCGACGTATCTTGATCCGTATATAATTATTCATTGATACTGAAATGAATATAATTGATTTGTGTGACTTGAATGTTCAATATGAAGCAATTTTTGTCACTCAAAGAAAGAAAAAGATTTCGATGTCACTATTTCAACCTATCAATATACTTGTATGAAAAAATGTATGACATCTGGGGATGATTTTATTGGTTTTAGCTTTTACGAATCAAACAAAATCTGTCTATGGTGCAGAATTGAAAAAAACCTCAAAACACATGTAATCATGTGGTAACACCATTATTTGAAAACTAACTTGTATCTCTATACATTATTTGAAAATTTCTGAAATTAACTGATAATATTCGACAAAACATAAGTCCAGACATACTTAACAATTTGATATACAAAATATACTGCGAACAAAACACAGAATTGAAAAATCACTCAATTCTAGGAAAAATATTTCGCAGCTTATCATGTGGTTACATCATAATCTTAAAACCAAATTGATTTTCACTCATTATTTGTAAATTTCTGAGATAAACATATGCATATTCTCTGTCCAGACTTAACAATTTGCTTTGCGAAAGATACTGCGAACAAAACACATTTTCATTATTTTTTCATTTATCTTGAGATAACAGTCATCAAACATGAGTTGATTTTAAAAATGCTATATTATGTGTGAACTGGGAATGATAACATCAGGACAAACAATTTCACCAACTGCAATTGATTCATTTTGATGCTTGATATTTCTATGATATTCAATTTAGATAGCCCGCTTTGATTCATCCGAAAGCCATGTTTGGCAGAAAAACGAAGTGAATTACATTTCAAATTCGAACACAGCAGGCTAAACTTTTTGAAAACCCCATCATTTGGGAAATGTGGAGTAAAAGTCTTGCTAACTGGGCTTTCAGAGCCTCATAGGGATTCTTCATCATTGTTTGTAGGTACATAACCATGAAAATTATGCCAAAAGAATTCCTCATTCAAGAAATTCTCAGGAATTCAATAATGCAAATCACAGGAACTAACATTGATTTCATTCTTTCGAATGGAATTCATTGAATGTTCTTAAAACTTTTTTCGAGTATTCACATATTCTATCAATAACAGTTTTGCAAACCAATAGTGAACCTCAAATGAATCAGTCAATTTTCATTTTCCAATGTTACATTATCCACTTGAATTCGACGCGCCTCATCCTGCACGTCAAGTTCC